AACCGAAGTGGATCCCAAACAATGATCTATTGCACAGTTCACCAAGCGGTGTTTGCACTTACGTTGACGTCGACGACGACGACGACGACGACGACGACAACGACGACGGCATGGACGACGTGGACGTCATGGACACTCAGAGTCGCTCCCTGGACCCCTCCTGGGATCTGACCTGGCCACTTTCCCACCTCAGATCCACTTCTGTTGGCCCCGGGGCTCGACGCACGGCCCAGAGGCCGAAATCGAGCGGAAGCCTCCGACGGGCCAAACATCGAGACGTCGACGACGACGATGACGACAACGACGACGACGCTGGCGTTGACGTTGGCAACGACGACGACGACATCGACGACGCATGAGAAGAAGAAGAAGAAGAAGAAGACAACAACGACGTCGCCGTTGACGACGGCGCGCTTCAGGAGCCTGGACCAAATTCCTGGGGTCTCTGTGTTCAGCCTGGGTTCGTTCTTGGAGCCCCTGGGCCCGAAAACCGGGCCTGGGAGGTCGAACACAAAAAAATGGTCGGTTCGGACCCTGAAGCTCCCTTGAGATCCGACGCTGCCACAAAGTGCACGATCGCGACAAGTCACGACGAGAGCCCTGGACCCCACCCTGCTGATGCTCTTGTCGAGTGGGATCGACCCACGATGGCCCCGGTGCCCGAAACGGGGCGAAGACGCTGGGCGAGGGAAACTTGCAGCGCCCCGATCTCAGGGTCGGCGGAATCGGCACCGCCGCGGCCGCCCAGCGGCCACTTGCTCGGGAGCGGCCAAGAGGGGGGTGTCCAAGAGGGGGGGGGTGCAAATCATGACCGGCGGCATGTGCGCGGCCCAGCGGGGGGGGGGCCAGGGACGTAATGAAATAAGAAAAGGCGCCATGAGATCTGGGGAAATATCATGGCCCCCGCCATGATATCCACCCCCCCCTAGTCATCACCCCCCCCCTCTTTTCCGCCCAGCGGCCACTCGCCCGAGCGGAGGTGGAGCCGAGGGGGCGGAGCCGGGACGGAAGGGAGGAGAGGCGGCGTTGGGGGCGGACGGGCCGAGCAGCGAGCCGGCAGAGCCAGAGCCGACGGGAGGAGCCCGGATCTCAGGGATCGCCAGCTCGCCGTCGCTCGGGCGTGCTTTCCCCGTGCCTGCTTCGACCTCGAGCGTGCGCTTTATTTTTTGGGGCCAGATGCTCCAGGCAGGAGGCTCCTCGACAGTCCTCGCCAAGAACAGATCCACACGTCGGGCGTGCATTCCCCGTGCACTTGTCGACCTCGTGCGTGCGCTCTTTTTGGGGGGCCAGATGGTCCAGGAGGCTCCTCGACATTCCCCGCCGAGAAGAGACCCACGCGTCGGACGCGCCTTCCCCGTGCCTTTTGTTACCTCGTGCGTGCCTGTTTTCTGGCCAGACGGTCCAGGAGGCTCCTCGACAGTCCCCGCCGAGAAGAGACCCACGCGTCGGACGCGCCTTCCCCGTGCCTTTTTTTCGACCTCGTGCGTGCCTGTTTTCTGGCCAGACGATCCAGGCTGCTCCTCGACGGCCCCCGCCGAGGAGAGACCCGCGCGTCGGAGCGATGCCGAGGCAGAGGGCTGGTCTTCGGGCCCGACACCTCGGGCCTCCGGCGGCCGCCCGGAGGCGCTCCGGGCACCCCCGGGAAAGCGCGTTCTCGGCGAGCGTGCAGCTGCGGGAAGGCGTCCCCGAGGCTGAGGCAGCCCGACGGCGATCGATCGAGCGAGGGCGGGGTCGATCGAGCGAGCGGCGACGGCGGCGACGGCGGTCGCGCTCCGACGGCAGGTAGGCCATCTCTGGGCGCTGCAGCAGCTGCGCGACGACGTCGACGGGGCTGTCGGCCGCCGCCTCGCCGAGGAGGGGGGGCTGACTGCCATGGTGAAGATTGCCAGGCGAGAGTCCCCCAGGACGGAAGGGGCAGAAGCATGGGGAGGGGAGGGGAAGGAGAATGATGATGATGATGATGATGATGATGATGAGGAGGAGGAGGAGGAGGAGGAGGAGGAGGAGGAGGAGGAGGAAGCACACACACACACACACGAGAAGGGATGATGAGCGGCTAGAAGAACATGAGGATCAGGAGGAGAGGGAGGACAAGGAGGGGAGGGGTTGGAGAAAGATGGTGAGGGGGTAGCGAGGCACGGACCCGCCCAGCAGAGAGTTGGTTTGACGTGCACTGTGCGCGGCACCGCGGAGGCTTGGACATCTGAAACGCTCACCCTCTGTGCCGAAGCCCTGGGGTGGGGGGGGCTGCTCGCCAGATTCGTGGCGAAGGTCACGGCATTGGTGTTCACCCCTGCTGCGAGCATGAACCAGAACGGCTGCGAGCATGTGGCCAGACCGGGGCAGGTTACTGAAACTTGGAGGGGCCCGCGACATGGGCTGTGGGAGCTTGTGAAGCATGTGCTTCCACGAGCCACTACCTGTTTCAACATGTTGTCGATGCTCCGCACTGGATGTCTGGTGCCACGGATAAGCTCACATCGTTTCGCGCTCAATGCAGCTCGTCTTTCTGAGTTTGGATCGAGACGATCGGGGTTCTACCTGCGGGTTGGCTCTCGCGGAAGCCCACCCGCCCCCGCCTCCCCGGCGGCCGGACGTCGCCAGTTCCTGCTGCTGCCATACGCCCGGATGACTCACACCCTGCCCTCCTGGAACGAACGACCAGGGGGGATGAGGAAGAAGGGCAGGACGAGAAGAAGCAATCGGATTACGAGGGAAAGTACGATTACAAAGGAGAAGACTGGGGGAGAAGGTGGGGAGAGGGGAGAGGACGAGGATGAATAAAAAGAAGTCGGACCAGAGCAAACCCAAGATGCATGAACACGATGCTGCAACGAATCCTCCCGTCCCAAGTTCTCTCCTCATTAGTTCCTGCAATTGCTCCTTGCCACTGCGGGGGGCGCCCCCCCCTTGCCTGCCATTCAAGCGAGACTCGCGGGTCGTAAAGGATCCACCTCCGTCTTCTATTAATCGGACATACAACAACCTATCACCATAAAGCTCGAGAGGTGTCAAACGAACGCCCCAACTTGGAAAAGATCTGCCCTCCATCCGTAGAAGATCGTATAAGTTGTTTGAAGCATGTTTCAAGCGAGGGAAACGCTTTACACTCGTGTAGCTCGTGCACACATGGGAATTTCGAGTGATACAATTTGAGGCAACGTCCATGGCCAGGACTTAAATTTAAAGAAGTACCGCCCTCCATCCGCGTAAACTGTTTGACTGGTTCAAACGTGTGTGCGCGGCACCAGTACGAGAGCCCTGTCGTGAAAAGGAGCCGCCCTCCATGTGTGTGACCGCTGGATTTGTTTACGAGTGTGCGCGGCGCCAAGACGAGAGCCCACTTTTGAAGAGGCACCGTCCTCCATCCGTGCCACTGCTGGAAACATCCAGCTTCAACGTCAGTGGGTGCGCGGACATCTCAAGCGAAACGCCCAGACCGCCCTCGCGACACGCCTCGCGGTGCGACAAGGAAAAGGGTATCAGCGCCGGGGGCGTGCCCAACGCTGAGACGCGATGCAGACCAACGGAGGGAGACTCTGGAGACTCTGCCTGATCGCGTAGCGATATGAATCCAACTCCGCCGCAACCTACGATCGGTTGCCTTGTCTCTTGGCCTTCCCAGCTCGACTGATGACTTTAGGCCAAAGCCCCGAGCTTATTCTTCTTAAACATTCCCGTCCTGTGGGGGTGAGAACGAGGGCCAGGCTCGAGGGGAAGAGAAGGGAAGATAAGGGAAAGGGCGGACGGAGCCCCTGGGACCCGACCTTGCAAGACGATCGCAACAGCGCGAACCATCACGACCCCGGAGCCCTGAATCCCACCCCTGCGCGGTATTTTTCGAGCTGGACCGATCCGTGGTGGCCCCCCCTGGGCCCGAGGCTGGGCGGAGAAGCTCGGCGCAAAAGAGAGCTGCAGCGACTGGCTCTCGGGGGCGGCCCCGAGTTCGTTCGGCTCTAAGAGCCGAACTCGGGGCCGCCCCCGAGAGTCTCGACCCGAGAGTCTCGGGTCATGACTTGGCCTCCAGCGGCCGTTCGGGACGATCCAGGCACCCCCGAAGCGCCCTCGGCGAGGCGCAGCCGCTGGAACGCATCCCGAGACCGGAAAGCCGCCGAGGTCCCACGAAATCGTCCAAAAAGACCTCGAGGCTCATGCTCCGGGTCGTCGATCGTCGGCCGTCGAGGCCTGAAAGCGGAGGAGGAGGAGGAGGAGGAGGAGGAGGAGGACGAGGAGGAGGACGAGGAGGAGGAGGAGGAGGAGGACGAGGAGGAGGAGGATAGGATAGGATAGGATAGGACTCGGCCTTGCGCGTGTGCTGGGAGTACGCAGCTATGCACTGTGTGAGACACGCGTGCACAACTACTACCTCTGACAATCGTATATCTACTATACGAGGTCAATGGTAACGCGCGCCGTGCAGCGCTCGACACACTAGTATCGGGGCTGTGCGCAAGTGTGAATTTCGCACGCGGGCTGGGGGGGACACCCCTCTGGCCCCGTGGGGCCAAAACCTCTCGGCACTGCGTGTGCCAGGTCGGCTCCCGAGGCATCTACCCAGCCCAGAGAAAAAAAAAAAAGACGGATCCTCACCCTCCACCGAAGAGGCCCCCCTATCACCTGACACTCGGGCCCCGCAGGCATCCGATTGGCAGGCAACAGCGAGGCGCCTTCAGCGAGGGGGTGACCCGTGGAGCAAGGGGTATGTATCTCGACTGACGCGGACAGCCTGCCTTCGCGAGGGTCGGGCGGGCCTCAATCAGAGTGTGCAACTGCATAGAGATAGCACTCGCGATGAAGTACATTACCATGCCCATCGAGTCGCGGAGGGAGCGGAGCAGGAGGTTACGCTCTGAGGAGGAGGAGGAGGAGGAGGAGGAGGAGGAGGAGGAGGAAGGGCAGGACCTCAAGGGGAGGAAGACTCGACGTTTCCTCGGGCGCACCCGCTCGGGCGGCGCACCGCGCAGCGGGCCGCGCGCCCGCTGCCAGCCTGCCGCGCGCGCCCGACCACGGCGGCGCAGCGCGCGGCCGACCACGGTGGGCGGTGGGCGGCGGCCTCTCGGGCCGCGCGCGCCAGGCGTCAGTCCGCCCGCGCCCGCCTGGGCTTCCGCGGCGCCGAGGCGGCCTCCTCCTCGGCCGCCTGCCACGCGACGACCACGGCGGTGAGGTTGTCGTCGCTGCCGCTCTCGTAGGAGCGGCGGACGAGGGCGTGGGCGGCCAGCTCGGCGCTGCGGTGCTCCAGGCAGATGGCCACGGCGTCGTCGTCGCCGAGCACGTCCCAGATGCCGTCGCACGCGAGCACGAGGAAGCGGTCCTGGAGCAACAAACAACTGCATACACACCAACTTCTGGAGCTCCAGAAGGTTCTGGTGTGCATGTACTTTTTTTTGAGGGGGGGTCCTCCGCCGGGTGCAATTCGCAGGTGTGGATCTCCGGCGTCGCGGTGACCAGCTCGCCGGTGGCGCCCTGGCAGCCGTAGCGCTGGGGCTCCTTCAGCAGGAGGTCCCCGAACGCGCGCGACACGGCAAGGCCCCACAGCAAGTTCTGGCCCCCAAACGTCGCTGGGTTCGGCGTGAAAACGCGCCAGACGCCCTGCATGTCCACCACGCCGCCGTTGCCCTCGATGCGGAGCCTCTCGTCGGCCCTGCCGGGCTTGTGGTCGTCTGTCAGCCGCACCGCGGACAGGCGACCTGGAGGAAGAAAAAACGGCACGAACACAAACATTCGGAGCTCAGCGCGCGGATTTCTTGGATCGGCGCTAGGCCCCCCTCCCTGGCGCGCGGAGTGCGCCAGGGGCGGCGCCGGAGGCGCCGCCAGGGGACCCAGCGCCAGTCCAAGAACTCCGCGTGGAGCTCCGGGTCTTTGCCTGTGCAGCTCTTCCTCCTTCGCCGACCGCCCTGGGAGCGGCAGAGCACCGCACGGGAGTCGCCGAGGTTTGCGATCATGAGCCTGCTCCGCCGCTCGTCCTGCGGCCATATCAGGCACAGCAGCGCGGTCGACCCGTCGAGCACCTCGCGCTCGCGCGCCCTGGCGAGGAACTCGGCGTCCGTGAGCGCGCACGCCTCGAGCACGGCCTGCCGCAGGTGCGCCTCGGTCAGCGCCGGCTTCGCGGCGAGGCAGGTCTGCAGGTTCCGGGGCAGCCACTCCACCAGGGCGTCCACGCACAGGCTCCCCGAGTGGCCGTCGAGCACGCAGAAGCCGCAGATCTTCTTGCCCTCGGGCGCGTCCAGGCTGACGTGCGGAGGAGGGCCGGCCGAGACGGCGGCGGCCCCACCGGGGAGGCGACAAGAGGGAGGAAGGTTCTTCGAAAAATCAGCAAGCAAATCGCATCGAACCATCGGACCCTTAAGAAGGGTCAGGCAAAAGCAAGCAAGAAACATACATCTAGAGCATGAACCCCTTCACTTCAGCAGGCAAGCGGGCATCGCACTACACCCCAACCCCCTTTGACCGACATGAAAAAAACAAATGCAAACGCCAATCCTGATGCCGCCCCCCTGATACTAATACTGCAGAAGTAGCAGTAATAGTCGTCGTGTCCTAGTACTTTGGAAGTTCTAATACTAGACATCATGCCTGCACGCAGTTATAATGATACGGTTGTAGTCGTACTGTACTACGGGCTGTGGTAGTGGTACTGTAGTATGGAAATAATCGTACTCTCGTACTATGCTCCTCTTATATTGTACTTCGAGTGTTGTTATTTTCTAGTACTGTAACAATAGTCGTGGAGTAATGCTGTAGTAGTACTGTAGCACTCCAGTGCTATAGCATTGCAGCCGTAGTAGAAGATAGTAGAAGTAGAAGTAGAAGTAGAAGTAGTAGTAGTAGTAGTAGTAGTAGTAGTAGTGGTAGTAGTAGTAGTAGTAGAAGTAGTAGTAGTAGTAGTAGTAGTAGTAGTAGTAGTAGCAGCAGCAGTACTAGTAGTAGTGGTAGGATTCGAATACTGTAGTAAAACTGGAACAATATTCGTAGTATTTCAGCACTGTAGTAGTTCGTCATAGTAGTAGTAGTAGTAGTAGTAGTAGTCGTAGTCGTAGTCGTAGTAGTAGTCGTAGTAGTAGTAGTAGTAGTAGTAGTAGTAGTAGTTGTAGTAGTAGTAGTAGTAGTATGAGTAGTCGTAGTAGTAGTAGTAGTAGTAGTAGTAGTAGTCGTAGTAGTAGTAGTAGTAGTAGTAGTAGTAGTAGTAGTAGTAGTAGTAGTAGTAGTAGTAGTAGTGGTCGTAGTAGTAGTAGGTAGTAGTAGTAGTAGTAGTAGTAGTAGTAGTAGTTAGTAGTAGTAGTAGTAGTAGTAGTAGTAGTAGTAGTGGTGGTAGTAGTAGTAGTAGGAGTAGTAGCAGTAGTAGTAGTAGTAGTTGTTGTAGTAGTCGTCGTAGTGGTACTAGGTCGTAGTAGACGCAGGTAGTAGTAGTAGTAGTAGTAGTAGTAGTAGTAGTAGTAGTAGCAGTAGCAGCAGTAGTAGTAGCAGTAGCAGTAGCAGTACCAGTCGCAGTAGTAGTGGTAGTAGTAGTAGTAGTAGTAGTAGTAGTAGTAGTAGTAGTAGTAGTAGTAGTAGTGGTAATAGTGGTGGTAATAGTAGCAGTGGTGGTAACTCTCTAATACTGTCTGTAGCAGCGCCTCTGTAATACTGCTACCGTACTGGTCTACTGCCGTGTCGATAGTTGTGCTCTGATACTCGAGTACTGACTGCAGTAGTCGTACTGTCATACTGTAGCAGTAATAGTAGCAGTAGCAGTAGCAGTAGCAGTAGCAGTAGTGGTAGTAGTAGTAGTAGTAGTAGTAGCAGGTAGTAGGTAGTAGGTAGTAGGTAGTAGGTAGTAGGTAGTAGGTAGTAGGTCGCAGGTAGTAGGTAGTAGGTAGTTAGGTCGGTAGGTAGTAGGTAGTAGTAGTAGTAGTAGTAGTATGTAGTAGTAGTGAGTAGTAGTAAGTAGTAATAGTAGTAGTCGTTAGTAGTCGTAAGTAGTAGCTCAGTTAGTGTAGTAGTAGTAGTAGCCGTCGTCGTCGTAGTCGTAGTAGTAGTAGTAGTAGTAGTAGTGGTAGTAGTGTAGTAGTGGTGGTGGTTGGTAGTAGTAGTAGTAGTAGTAGTAGCCGTAGTAGTAGTAGTAGTAGTAGTAGTAGTAGTAGTAGTAGTGGTAGTAGTAGTAGTAGTAGTAGTAGTAGTAGTAGTAGTAGTGGTAGTAGTACTGCGCGCGGCGGGGGTACTTATAAGTACTTATGCAGTTACGCCAATTATAAGTAGCTCCTAAGTCGCTCGTAAGTAGCTGATAAGTAGTGTAAGTAGCTCGTAAGTAGCTCATAAGTAGTGTAAGTAGCTCATATGTTGCTAAGTTACTTAGGAGCTACTTATAAGTAGGGGCAGCCTACTTATAAGTAGCGTAAGTACTTATAAGTACTTTGGCCTACTTATAAGTACTTACGGCCTACTTATATAAGTAGCGTAAGTTACTTACGAGCTACTTATGTAAGTGGCGTAAGTGCCACATAAGTGGCGCGTAAGTGCCACATAAGTGGCGCGTAAGTGCCACATAAGTGGCGCGTAAGTGCCACATAACTGCAGTTACGCAAACTAACGCCATGTATGGGCATGCATTTTCAATCAATATATATAACAGCGCGCGCGCTGAACAGGACGCCCAAAACACTTGTGACGCCAATGTCGTAAACCCTAAACCCTAAGAGAACCTTGGTGCCCGATCTGGAATATTGCGCGGGCGCCGTGGGAGGCATGCTGCGAAATCAATAGTTGTTTCATGCATTTGTGCTGCCGCTGGCCCAGACAAAGGTGTCAGCCACCCTTCAGTTGCGTTCAGCGCAGCCCCCGCCTTGCGTTTCGCGCATTGCAGTTGGGCCATGGCGGGTGAGACCATGCAGGCTCGCGTGGAGCGCGTCCAGGAGCAGATCTTCGACATCATCAAGGAGTACACGTTGAGCCATTGCCCCCCGATTCTCCAGTTGCGCGACCAGGCGGTGCGATTGTTGCGGAAGGAGGGTCTGCTGAGGCGCCAGAAAACGAATGGGCGCTACGTGGCCGTGCACCCGCGGAACAGGTACGGCGATGGCAAAATTCCATCCCACGTGCGCACGCTGGTGCGCAGTTTTTGCAGCGACGGGTTCAGCATGGATGAGGTGGGCGTGCCCTTTGCCATCGAGATGCCACCCCCATCTCACGAGCGCCACGCCGAGGCACTCGAGTTCAACGGAGACCTTGTCAAGGACTCCCACGGCTTCTTGCCGCCATACGACGAGGGCGAGATCAAAATCCTTAGCGTGAGCAAGTCGCACACGACCCAGGCGACCCGCTGCATTCAGTTTGGCAGCCCTACAGATTCAGATACCGTCGAGTTCGGTACCGACGGGAAGCTTGACATCCACAAGATCGGGTTGAAGCGCCCCACGTTGGCAGATGCTGCGAAGGAGGGGTTTGAATGGGACGTGCTTGTCTGGCAGGCTGAAGACGCATTCGGCGCCATTATAGACTTGCTCCAGGACCCGCTTAAGTTTGTGAAATCGATGGCCCACCCTTTAACTTTTCGATTGCCCCCCGCCCCCGCCCCCCCCCGCATTTATGTTGGCTTTAGCCGCGTTCAATCAGGAGTCTGGAAATGCTGCGCAGAAGGTTTCCATGAATGAGACTAGGTGGGAGACCTTGTTCAAGATGCACGGGGACGTGCAGAAGATCGTCACCAACTTCGAAGCCAATAAAAAGGAGGGCGACATCTTGAACCCCGACGTCGCGTGGGGTAGGGCAATAACGAAAGCGCAATCCAGAAATCCAGATTTCGTTTCAGAGATCCAGAGTTTGGCGACGTTTGCGAGGAAGCTCGCTGGTGGACCAGACGCACCGAATTTGAAGGAGCTTCTGGCTTTCAACCGTTCGTGCCAGAAGCCGCGCATTGTGCAGGGCCCCGTCTTGGCGGCGGTGGCTGATGCAGTGATCGGCTCGGATGGTTTGGGCTGCATTCCCGTCCGCATTGATTGCGTAAAGGCAATGATGAGCGCCGACAGCAAGTATGCATCGGGCGACTTTCAGAACCTCTTTGCATCGGGTGACTTCGGGCTTAAGCTCACGAGTAACAAGGAAGTGCAGAGCATGATCTCGCAGGCAGACATCATGAAATCGATGGCTATAGACATCGCAAAAACTGTCAACCTGTCAGAAGACAACGCGGCCGTGAAGACGTTGATCAACAGGTTCGGCATGAGGCTCGTGCACCACTGCATGAAGAAGCCCGACCCCAGGAGCCAAAAGTTCGAGTCGCTTCACCACATCGGCTACGAGTACGTGCAAGACCTGGCTACCATTGCAGGCACGCAGATCACATCCCCGTGGGCGAAGAAAGGAGCCCCGCCCAGAGCTCCCGCGCAGCAAGCTGCGGCTTCTGCACAAGTGCAGAGCGTAGGCGGAATCGCCGACAGGATGTACAAATTGGCAAGTATGGGCGTGAGCGCCAATTGCCACATCGAGGTCATCAAGATGAAAACTGTATACAAGGTGCAGGAAGTCAAGGAGGATGAGATCAAGCTGCAGAGCATCGGCGATGGGAGCGACTACACAGTCGATTCGGCATACCTCCTGAAATCGCTACTCACCCCGCGTGCACAAGAGTTCACGGTGATCACAAAACGCGAGCCGAAGAAGGACGCCGCGCTCTCCCCCTTCCACGCTTGCAAGCCGTAGGAGGGCGGCGTGTATACTATAGGGGGAGGGGGTGGGGGAGGGGGCAACGAGTTTGGCAATGGAGCTTGGTTGTCTTACACACCCGCAGCCCACGTGCTCTTTTCCTGTTGTTCTCCATCCCGCACCTTTACCCCAACCCCACCGCCCATCCCAGCCCCGCCCAAACCCACCACCCCCGCAACCCATCCCACCATCCCAACAGGAATACATCAACGATTGGAGTGCCAGGTGCGACCCGCGCTCGAACTCGGACTGGCAGCGCATGGTGTTGGTTTGTCACGTGACGTCGGCGCTTGATGCATTGGGTAACCTACAGGGGGCAGCGGGCGAGATGGTCGACATCGTGACGGAGCCCACGGAGCACCGCGGCGTGTACGCCAAGGTTGACATCGATGTCTCCAGCGCGATCTTCCCGCCCTTCTCGACCAAAGTTGCCTTCTCGGATGCAGCTCCAGACGGTGCCATCGACGTCGGCGCGGAGATCACTAATGCGGACGGCGTCGCGCAGAAGCTTTACATCTTCATGAAGCTGCAGAAGCATGATCCAGGCGGCATCGCGGACAACACGCGCGGCAGCTACAAGATGGCGAAGATAGAAGGGTCCATGCCGCACTACTGGCTCATTGACAAAGAGGTGACCGACCCCAAGAAGTCTAACATGGCCATCAAGCTTCACACCGTTGACGCCTCGGTCGGCGCGGAGAAGTTTACATTGAAAATACCGTTCCTGGAAAACACCAAACCCATCAAAAAGGGTGACAAGCTTCGTGCACTGAAGCCGCAGGCGGCGAAGGCGCCGCCGATGAAGAGGGTCCGCACGCAGTAGTCGTGGCTCGCGGAGCCGAGCTTATTAGACACTTGTGCCGCGATCTCAGGTCGGTGGGGCGGCGCGCCGATTAAGGAGACAATGGTATTATTATTTCGGATTTCCTTTAGCGCTTGCAGGACACACGGCGTCCTCTGGACACATGGCGTATTCTTCTCTTTCAGCGCTTGCAGGAGAAACAAAAACAGCTCGCATGCGCTCGCGCGGGGAGAGGGGGATGGGGGAGGGGGCAGCGGCAGCGCTGGTCCAAGCCTCGTCGCTGCGGCTGGGCGCGGGCTCGATTGCAGTGACAAGCCGTCAGTGATCAAGCGAGGTTGCGCTCGGCCGCCGCGGGGGTTTCGCGCGGCTGTTTTCACGCGCGCCGATGTCGTTCACGATCGAGGCGAAGCCCGTGGTCCAATATCATGCCGCGGACATGAAGCACGTCCGCACGTGGGTGCCCCAGTACACCAAGACGATCGATGGAGCTACGTACGTCGAGCCCAGGCAGACAGATAGACCTCTCGCT